ATGCCAACCTCGTTCCCAGGCTCTTTGCTCTTGGGAAGCAACATGCCTGTAGAAAGTAGGAAGTTATGGAGCGACGCTACCTCCAAAGTCTAAAGGGCTAACTCCAAACCAAAATATACACTTGAGTATCTTGTGTAATTCAAGACTGAGTTGAAATATGAATTCTGGAGTTACTGGCTAACTCCAAAAATCATTTGGAGCTAAGTATACAACTGCAAAAATAATTTAGGAGCTAGGCATCTAAGCCTGGAGTTACTGGCTAACTCCAATAATCATTTAGAGCTACGTATAACTCCAAAAATCATGAAAAAACAAGGTATTTAAGCCTTGAGTTACGCCTAACTCCAAAAAGTATGTGTATAGCGAGGCGAGTCAGCCTATAGCCGCTAGAAACATACATGTAAGGTTGAAGTTACTTGCTGTGTTGCTAACTCCAAAAATCATTTGGAGCTTGTTATCTAAGCCAGGAGTTACTGACTAACTGGAATAACTGCAAGAACTCTCAGAATGCACTTCTATATTCCGCTGTATTAAATAAGACTGAAATACCCACAATATGCGCATAAACATGACATTGACACACTTGGCATTTTGTGCTCGTTCAGAGGCTAAATTTTGATCTGCAGTTGACTGTTGAGGCAAACCCATTCTCGTACACCGCGTCCTTTTCATGCTCTGTTGATCGTGTGTAAGGCGGGCTGTGCATGGGTACGAGAATGTGGCATAGTCTAGCTCCATTTAAAGATTGGCTACCTCCACAAAAATAAAATCTACAGGTATGGGAAGCAAAGACCCTGGTCGGAGCTGGTCACGTGAACCCCCAGATTTTGGGGGTAAATTGAATTTGATCTCAGGGAGGGGTAGTAGAGTAGTCTGTTTGTTGCGTTTAGAAAATTGCAACTTTATGTGTTATAATTTCGTGTGATAAAAATGTAATTTGCAACAAGAGATTGTGAAAGGAACTGTTCTAAATTTGTAACGATCATGACAAGACTTCCTGCTATACTGAATGTCATCAATAATAAGTGTTGCGTTACATTTCAAGCGAGAAGCTGGATCATATTTCATTTGCAAGGAAAACACTCCACACGCGCCTGGCTTGCGAAGTTTAGCACGTATCGCCGTAGAAACATACATATCTTCTACACAGACTGATCGACCAAACCGTATTAAACGAACGATATGGTTCTTTATAGTTGAAGTGTATCCTGTCCGATATTCAAAACAAAAGATTTATTTTATAACGCGTCCTTTGTCTTTGATTTCCCAAACATCGCCAACATGTGTAAACAATAGTGCTATTCTGACTGTAAAAGCACAGGATTAAAACCCGTTATGGACTGGATGTAAAATTCATTTCATTTACATTGCTGAAACTCAACGATCAAGAAAGATAATGTCGAAGTGTAGCTAGCTGTTATCACACAAACGCCAAGACTCCTCCGTGCGTTTCCGTGCGTGCGGTACAACTTGAATATCTAGGACGATATATGCACCAGAGACTGGTATTGTACTTTATATAAATTATTTCATATTTTGTATATACAGTAATTTGCAACATGTATAATATTAGACCTTTCATTGACATTGGCATTGTCCATTGAGCTCGAGGGCTTTATTGAAGAATAATCCAGCTTCTTTAGACTTGTATAATGGATTAATGCCGCTATGAGTTATCAATATTTAAATCAACTTTAATCTTTATCGTATACTGTAATCGACATTTTAAAAGTTTAGTCTGTTTTACCAAACAATACTGGAGACAAACAACCTATCTATCGATGGAAACTTTAAAAGGTTTGTTACAGTAAAACTCATTAATATAAGCGAGACTTCGTGTGCATATACAGTTTATGAATTATGTATATCCCTGATAAAACATAGGAGACTTTATACCAGATATAATAAAAAATACTTTGCTGAACCTTTTCGGCTGGCATTCCTTTGCATTTAAGGGGAGAGGGTAGATTGTTATAGAATTTATAGGAGATGCTGTGCAATATTTTGGCTTCAACAGACAGGTACTCGTGCAGACAAAAAAGGAAATGCATGCAGTTTTGAATTGTCGTATGTCAGCTGTGCACTGTCGATTTCAAACAATTTTGTGCGTTATATTTTGTCTTCCTGCTGTTTAATATAAACGATGGTAACCTTTTAAAAAAAAAATCTAGAGCAATATGTCTACAAACAGTTTTAGAATCAATAGAATGGACATTCAATGTGTATTTGGCTTGTGTCCAAATGTGTCACGTTTAAGACCGGCAAGGCGCTAATCCTACGACCTATAAACAGTCGCTTTTGAGACCTGGCTTGCGAGGTTGTTGAGACATCTGAATGTTTAACAAAATTTATACCATGTCCATATCAGAACAATTCATTGGCATATTATAAATATCGGAGCCAGAACAGAAACGCATGCGTGAAATAAAACTACGCCCGAACCGGCGAACCCCGAGAAAATAAAAATATTTCAAAGCGTACAGTCATACGTTGTCGTTGCTTGATTTCCTGAATTTTCTGTTGCTATAAGAATCTGCATTTTAGCATTTTGTATAATTTAAAAGCAAACAGAAACCAATTTAGCACGTAGTTTGAGGTATATATGATTCTTGAAGATGAATTAATGATTGTACAGAACGGCCACTCCTTGCAATCGAAGTGCGAAGTGCGGAAGTGGAAACATGTAATATGAGACTTTTCCATCCCCCTCTTGGGTTATCAATTTTCAATGGGTCACGTGACCAGCTCCGACCAGGGTCTTTGCTCCCCAAGAGCAAAGAGCCTGGGAACGAGGTTGGTCTAATGCTTTTATTGAAACCAATGAAAAAATTTTAGGCAAAATTAACACTCAAAGGTGTTCTGTAACCTTAAGTAGCAATAGTCAGTGAACTCACATTACACACCCACACGACCTGGAACGCTTTACCCTGTTGGCGTAGTAATGACCGTGAAATGATGAAAATAACGTAGCAGTTTAAAAACTACTGCAATGCAATACGGAATACAATTTTATAGTGGCATTTGTCTTAGAGCTCTTGTATTTGCCAAAATCACTGTTGTATCATGGTGGGGGCAGAAGGTGGGGGAGGTGAGGAGGGCAGAGGGAAGATAGGGGGGGGGAGGTGCTGAACAGAAAATTATGAATACAGTTGGCGTACCTGTAAATCAGAAATGTGGTACAAGGAACTGCTATTTTTACTAAGATTGCGAAGGATTTTTGACCAGTTTTTTAGTTTATACTTGGGGTCGCATTCGATAATATTTCATTGTAACCACAAATTCGGCGGCGCAGTCGTCAGAGAAGGCGGTTTTCTCTTCTGAGATCGTGGATTCGATTCTCGCTACGAACTCACGAGAGTCGTGTATTTTTCCCGGGCCCTCTAGTATCCTCTAACATGCAGGGAATGTTGAGGATATACATATACATACAGTTCGAAAAGTAATATCACAATTGTTGTGATAATATGGAATGTGCAGCTTTCAGAAGCTCAGCGAAACAACGTCTCTTCGTTGCTATAATTCCTCTGAAAATAGCGTTCATAAAAAGTACGAATAGGTGCATGTTTTTTCACGTCGCTACTGAAAACTATCGGTTGCAGTGTAACCGTATAGCCTTAATTATAACATTTCATTCACTCTATGTCTTACTGATTGTTTCCACTCTCTCCTAGTTTCTGCATCCAACATAATACAGTTTTACTATCAAGCGAATATGTTATTCTGCTGATTTCTAATTGCGATTATAAAGTGTTCTTAATCGTGTAACTGAGCCTAGCTGATAAAGTGGCGGATATTAACTCGAACCTATATATAGGTAGTATACATTTAACTACTTTTAAGTGGCGCAAATCTTTACGATTTACTCACTACCAATCGTGCATACATCCCATTTTATGTTCGACATCAATAACAGCTACAATACGCTTTATTGTTAGCATTCGCAAAGGCGGGAAAGTCATGCAATCGATATTCTATTAGATGTCATCAATCGGATACAAACATATGTATTCTGTCAGTCTCAATAACTTTTTTTTGCAAAGCTCATCAAACCAGGCATTCCATTTGGGCTTATTTTTCTTCATGCAATTCATCATCCCAATAGAATCTGGCGATATGATGCCTGAACGATCAAAAATTTGTGATAATACACTTTAGTATTTTATTTTCACAAGTGAACATAATAAGTCCTACAACCTGATTGGTCAAATTTGACGTATTAAGCTGTTATATTCACCTACTGGAGCCGGTTGTTCGAAAGACGATTTGCTTAACCCTAGATTAACCTAAACTTCTAAGCAAACTTCCTGACAGCTTGTCTATAAATTTAGAAATGTTTCTTCAGAAATCTTGGCTGGGTCGATAGGAGTTGACTTCCCTGTAGTTTTGAAATAAACAGACGTGCGGAAATACACAAACCAAAACAGCAGGTTACATTTTAACCCAGGGTTAGCACTAATCCAGCTTTGAACAACCGGCCGCAAGTGAATATAACAAAACTGAAATTTTCAAAATGGCGGCTAGCCGTTTTGCGGAAGTTCACTGATAAAGAAATAAGCGAAATTAAAATAAATTCAGTACCAAAACACAAAAGACTTGTGTAAAACTACTAAAACAATTAGTCGCCTCAGGCTCGGTGATTTTCGGGGAATATTCACCTCGACTTCGTCTCGGCGAATATCAGCTCCATAATCACCTCCCCTTCGGCGAATAATTTTTAAATATTAACTACATTCCATTTAGTGAGCTTTCGTGCTGCGTTAATTATCACATTTATATTGATAGTATCCCAGGCCTGACCTAAAACTCTCGGTATACGTACCTCCTATCTCGTTTTCTCATTCTAGAGTCGTTTTTACTAGCTCAAAACACTATCTGCGGCACTGTCATTTTGTTTTCAATTTACTGATGCATTTTCTAATTGACAATGCGGTCTTCTTAAGAGGACATTTTTTTCAATGTCACGTAACACGCGCTCAAAACTAATGCGTACAATATACTACTTGAGGTTATGACTAAATTCAAAAATTTTATTTTTGGATACGTTTCTCAATCGGCAAACAAGCTTTAAAAGTATGTTTAATGCTTTGCCGGTTAAATAATGCTAAAATGAAGAGATTTTCGATAATACGTCGACGTCAAAGAGAAGATGATGTCTGAAATTCAGTACGTTTTGCTTATATGCATGGCTGTAAATATGGCGTCAATTTTAAAGCATCATTGATAATTGTATTTTAATTGACAATTTTTAACTATTATTTTATGTTTCTCAACCGGAAGGTGCATTTAAAAAGATAGCCAACTCTATAAACTAGAGAAGAAAGCTAAAACAAAGTAATTTTGAGAGGAACGCCAAAAAGATTTTAGGTTTTGAACACTTTTCGTTGCAAATACGCAACATTGAAAAAAATTGCCTCTTAATTAAACGTGATTTAAACACGCCTTCGGCTAATCTCATTTTAGCTGTTAATTACCTCGGGTCGGTACGACACCGAGGTCATAAATTCGGCTCCTATTTTTCTTTCCATTTTGTGTCGAGCCGCGCGCGTAGTCGAAGAGCCTGCGGAGGAGACGACAACTTGCGGTAAATAAGTGTACTTCCTGGAAATTTCAAGCATCGGCAAAAGCGAAACGGAACCCGTAGCTGTCCTTGCACAAACTCCGTCAAAATTGTTGATTTAAAACCAGAAGGTGCGATAATTTTGACATACATGTTTAGCTGAATAACTATTCGCGAGTATATGTTGATATAATGTACAATACTTCGTATGCATAGCATGGGAATACCGCGGCCAACTTTCACTTGTTTGATACTGCTAAGCATTTTATGGATGGTTCTTACTGTAACTGGTAGACAACAATTTTGCCAACTGTCAACTCATTACAATCTTCGACTGTTGAGACTGTGGTACAACTATTACTAATGATGGATCAGTTATATGCACCTAATTATATTTTCGGTACTTTGATATATTTTAAAAATATCTGAAGTGCTGTCGTCCTGCTATGTGCAATCAACAAATAGACTGATAATATTGTCTGTTAGTGTTACTAAATACAAGATGAAGTAGTGAAGTAGCTATGTATATCATTCACTCGTCCGCAAAATAACCCAAATAATGAATAAATACAGTTAAATATTTGCGTCAGTAAATTCTCTAAATTGTTCCTGTATTTAACTATTATCAATAAAATGTTAAAACGGAGCTTTGATTGACTGATTCACCATTTATACTAGTGAACTATTAAACTATATTGATTTACACGATCTTTGCATGTTTACCAGATGATGCCCTATGCACCGACCCGAGGTTAACGCCTAGCGGGCGTCTTGTTTAAATACATTCATAAGTTTGCGCAACTTTTCAATTGCAATCAACATGCCTTGCGGCTCCATTTATATTGAGATGCCGAAAGTGGTGGGTTTTCTCCTGATGCTCCGGTTTCCTCCCACAGGGAAAGTTGACGTCACAGGGTGGGTTAGAATAAACACAGTTAAGAAAGTAATCACAATTGTTGCAAAAATAGATAGTCTAGGTTAAGTAAGTAACATAAATAAGCGTAATACTTGATGTAATTGCTGTCACTGAAAAGTCCCAATGGAGACTGAGCTGAATAATAATGTAATGTAATGCTCGCCCCCTGCGGCACAAATAATCCCCGAGCCAACTGGGCGCAAGCCCGGGGCGAGGATATTAATCCTCCCGCCGGCTATTTACACCCGGGAAAAGGAACGCACTAGCGAAGTCTAAAGTTCATCAATTATCGCGGGCGCGGTTCATGGGTGTATGGGTGGTCATCTCACTGATCTCAAAATATGGCTGTTTGCCAGGAGTGAAGAAAGGGAAAATATAAAAATTGCAGAAATTACGGGAACCACTGAGTATTTTGATAAAATACAAAACAATAGATACTCCGAAAATTGAAAGCATTTTGAAGAATTTATTTCGACGTTTCGACTAAACTATAGTCATCATCAAGAAATGAATGATCATTCATTTCCTGGTGATGACTATAGTTTAGTCAAAACGTCGAAATAAATTTTTCAAAATGCTTTCAATTTTCGGAGTATCTATTGTTTTGTATTTTACAAAAATTACATGTAAGAAAAAGCTTGGAAAATCATTTCACATAACAAATTATCAAACTTTTTTCAATTTTTAAACGTAAAAATTTATAAGAATTGATTTACTATGAGAAATCTGTATAGCCTATAGGGCAAGTTTGTTTCAATTGTTTATGTATGACTTTGTATTAATATTATAAACTTTGTTCTTGTTGTTCAAGTCTTTCCTATGGATTGTATGCGAAAGTTTCATAGTTAAATTATCTTTTGTAGAAGTTCATGATAAAAAGGAAAGCAAATTATTTTCATTAGCGTTCTATACGAATTAAATTTATTTCATTTCAAAGTGCGAGTAATAAGTTGAGCTCAAGTTATCGCGATCGGCAAAAAGCAGTTAATTTCAATTCACATTTAAGGTGGCTCGATACAGTTTTCAAAAATTCAGGTGTTTAACACTTTGACATGTTCAAACTACGCATTTTTAGGATTTATTCAGCAGATATTGGTTTTTTTATATATTTTGATAACTCTACTTTCAAATTATATTAGTTTTAGTAACAGATAGTTCGTTGCTATGACGACATACGTGTACGAAATTCACTCCAAATTGGCCTATCGCCTCGTATAGTTGGAAAAAAAGCATGGTGACCCCCATTTTTTTTTCGTGCATTATTTTACTTGGACGAAAAGCTAACAATTAGCAAAATATAAAAAAATTCTGTAATGCCATTTTTTTGGAAAATGCGAAAATGTCATATTCTTCTGTAAAATTTTTTTGGCATTTGTACGATGAAAGTTTTCAGCGTTACAAAACCATACGCAAATTTTCAACATAGGTCACCAGGTGATATAATGAGATACAAAGCTTTTTGTCCGGAAATATTGAAATTATAATGACGTCAGCAAATTACTCGCGAGAAAACACACGCGCGTCAGCGCGTGGCAAGGATTCATTCGAAATGGCGAGACCAACAAACAAGACAAATATTTGACAACTTTAATCGTTATTTTTAAAAAATATTCTCGTTTAATTGAGTAATATGATGGAAAATTATAGTAAGATCTACAAATTACACTGAAGAGACAAAATATGAACATATAGCGTTCAAAATTCTTCGATTTTTTGTTACCCGTGGTTTTGAAGTTCGCATGGTCGTAGGTGGCAAGCCAAGGACAGCAATGATGCCTTCACATCCACCTTGTCTGAATAATGCAACCAGATCTGTGAATGTCATGCCACTCTCTGCTATCTTATTGGCCATTGACTTCGAAATAACACTTCTATTTTTGTCGGGATTGTGGAGATTGCCCATAAACGTTTGGAATCGATCGTAAGACAGATCCATATGCTGGACGACAGCCAACGCATTTTCACACGACATGACATTTGATTTTGAAACGATAATTTCACTGGTCAATGTCAAATTGGACTCAAAAAGAATTCTTCGGAGTGCTTTAACGTCTTCGAGGGCATCGTGTGCTGGAAACGACTGGTCAAATAAGGTCGAATGTAGGCATCCCAACGAGGCTTTGGAAAATGTATTATCAGACAACCGAAGCGCAGGATGTTCCTCTTTCAAGATTTGCTTGGCTAAGATTAAACTATCTCCAAAATGAACATTCAAACGTTTCAGTTCTGTCATAAACGGTGGAATTGAAGTACGGAGAAGAATTGGGATATCAAAGGTCATCGCATTGTGTCCTACCAGAACAGGTATGCATTCTTTCATTTCTTTGTCGTTCGTACTGACTTTGTTTATATAATTGATGAACGACACTTGGGCTTCCTTTAAACTGCTACTCTGCACAGGTTGGCCTTGGTGATAGAGTACTCTTTCCCCGTTTACTTTAAAAATTTCTAGTTTATTAATTTCTGTAGCGTGAAAATTCATTTTGTCCCACATCACCTATCGCCGACAATTGACAAATTTCTGCTGCTTTTCCCATGGTGGTTGTCTCGGTATCGAACAAAATAAACTTGTATGTTTTTGTCTCATCATATTGTATACAATTATTTTGTTTTATTGGGACTTGCGGAACTAGTTTCTCATATCTCTGGTGTTGTTCATTAGTTATAGACTCAAGGGTTTGCAGTGGATCAGAATTAGCCATATTGCTGGGCAACTGTAAGTTTAGTCCAATGTTACTCTCATACGTTTTCCCTTCCTTTATTTCGCTCTTTGCAAGTTTTGCACTTTTCTTATTTTTCAATTCATTTCTTCTACATTTTACTTCTTTCATTGCTTTTCTTGCTTTAGCAGTAGTTGACTTTTTGTCCATTTTGGCAACATAGTCCTCACAAAATTTACCTGGTTCAATGTTTAATCTTTCCAATGTGCTGCTTACATAACCATAGCCAGTGTTTACTTGAGCAATTGCACAAGCTACACGAAAGTCACTACTTTCACTGCCTCCATAGTACCTTGTTTTGGGATTCTTTGTGCCAACAACACTATTCAATGATTCATTTCTTTGAGAGTTTGCACATGGAGCAAGTTTTGAAATAACAGTATCTGTATAATACTCTGCAAACAGTTCGGTTAAAACTTCCTTCAGCTTTTCACCAAATAGGTCTTTCCCATGTGGTAGATCCTTGTGTCTGTAGGTTGTCGGGTTATCATTAAATTTGCACCATGATGAATTGCATGAAGTGTGATCGCCAAATGCATGTGGGACAATTTGTTTGAGTGACTTTTTTAGTTGGGCAGGGTTTCCTTTGTTTTGTGCAACACAGTAACTAAAGCATTTAGTTAGGTAGTTTATCACCTTGTGTGACAATGTAGAGCAGTTGTTGAATTTATGTTTACTAATATTGTACAACCTAGTAGTTAGCGATCTTTTTGTATGTGTTATATCGGACCATTTCTCAACACCATAGGGCACATTTTGATGCATTTGACACAATGTGGTTGAATCATCATCCCCAATATATACGGTGTATCTTGTGTTTGACAAGGGTGCCTTGTTCCATAATTCACAGGCAACAGAACTTTCCATGGATTTTAACGAGCCTTCATGATTTTTTCTGCAGTAGTGTTTTGTAGCTTGTTTCCCCTTTGCCATTGCAGCTTCACAAAACCTACAATTTTTGCAACGAGTGGCATAATCCATCACTTTTCCAGTTGCCAAGCCCATAGCAGCACCATGCCCAGTTGAGGAATTGTGACCCTTTCCTCTTTTCTGCCATCCCATATCATATGATGCAGCCATCTCTACAAAACCATCTGGAGTCACACATGTGCTATTTTTTTTTTCTTCACAGGTTATTTTGCTACAGCTTTCTTGGGCAACAGTCTCAACACAATGACCAACTTCACGTTCACGAGCTTTGTATGCTTTATGGCTTATTGTGGGTATGTTCATTGTGGAAAGCAGGTGATTGACATGTGTGTGTCCCATCCCAGTGTGTAAACTTCCCAATACCACTCTGCTGTTTGCATCCATACAAGGCGGTCCACGCTTCCCTGATTTATGTCGAGATGATGTACAAACTTCATTTAGTTGAAAGCAGTTTTGGCAGAATACATAAAATACACTTCCTAGGCCATACAGTTTTTCTTGCTTGATGTCATCCAAGGATAATGGACCTAGTTTATTATGGAAGGTGTTAATGACAAGACTTTGTAATCAGTAAATGAGCAAGTGCTATGGTTTATTTAACATCCACTAACATTGTCTCATTACATTATTTGTCCATATATTTAAGACAGTGCCAAAGCATGCTGGATAATTGTGGGGGGGGGGAGCATATTCATATATTCATGTTCACAGACCTTAATTAAAAACAATGAATTTCAAAATAAATTAATAATGCAAACATGAATATATGAATATGCCCCCCCCCCACCTCCCCCCATTTATCAGCTTGGCTATGCCACTGCAGGAAGAGACTGATATTGTTGTTGTAAATCATTAGAGTATCTTTAAGAATTGCACCCAAAACTTTTTTATATAAAGGAGTAAATTTAAAATGTAAAAGAATAAAGGAAAGAAGTGTCTTTTTAGTTATTGTATTTTTATTATATAAGATTTATTTATAGTTTGTAAGTTCATACCTTTACCGCAAGCTAAACATTTTGACAGTCCTTTTTTCAATGTGTCGATATCAACTACTCTCGACCCGACAAGTTGGCTAGTTGTCTATAAAGCATAACAATTATAACTTATTTTAGACTGGAAAAATATAACGTGAAAATACAAAAGAAAATTTACTTTGTGAAAAAAATTTGCTGTTACCTGCTGTTGCCTTTTCGGCCTCTTTAACGTTGTCTTTGATGTATCGTCGTCGCTTGCCCTCTCGTTTTCGTCGTTGCACACCGCCAATTTCCTTTTTCGCTCGTTTAAAATCTTTCCTTTTTGCATCACTGCAACCTTATCTAAATTTTCTTTGAACTTTCCCGAACTTACAAATCTTCCTTTTGGATTTTTTGCCCTCAGAAACTCGCATTTCGCACTTGTTTTATCGTTTTCACAATTTAACTCCGCCATGTTTACTTTTCTCGGCATTTAAACTTCCCGCGAATATCGCGAGTGTTGTGAAAAGTCCCGCGTGATATTTAAGCGCGTACGCGCGCGCGAAGAACTAGGAAATTTCTGTATCGAGCCACCTTAAAAACGTTTTACATAGAGTTTCGTTTTCAATTTTACATTAAAATAAAGCACATTGAGAAACCAAAATCATATACCTGCTTTATATATTTTAGAAATTGATTGTTCTGTACTTAAAAGTGTTCAAGTTTCATCTATAGACCAATTGCGAAACTTATAGTGGCCGCGCCTTCATACTGCACGAAAACGAGGCTTATTATGCAAAAACAAATCATTTTTCTGCATTTTTATATGGCGAAAAATGAATTTCAGTGTTTGAGACGCGTTTTTAAGGTAATCTCTTCATTTTTTTTCAATGTTTTTGTTTTGACTATGTAAATCTTTATTAAACTTGTTCATAGATTTAGTCTTACTTCAAATTTCCTTGTTTTTCGCGGCGTGCGAGGCAAAGTTTTGCTGTTTTTCGCCGTCCGATAAAAGAAGCAGATTATACCAGAGAAAGAAACAGGTATTTTACGTCTGTTTTATTAATACATTTCAAAGAATAAGCTGTAACATTGATTAATTTTGTTTCAGTTGTAATATAATAGCAAGTTTTCGATTTTAACTTTAAAAATATGAAAGTAAATGTCGGGCAAAATTTGTAGAAATTTTATGTTATTATCCTTTGACAAAATCGGTTTTTTTCTCGCACGAAGTCTAAAAAATCTGGGTAGAAAGAGTTATATTCTAGTTTGTTAAGTTATACTGGCTATTTTATTTTCATCTTGATCAGATTTTAAAGTGTAGATTGATCTTTTCCATATGTTTGTTCCATCGCATCCTAAAACAACAACGAAATATCTCTCCAAAGCGGGTAAAAATATAGTGGGAAATCGATGTTTAGATAAATTTAACAAATATTTATATAACTAGCACGAAATATTAAGAAAAGATCAAAGAGATTCAAGAAAAAACACTTTAAAAACCCTAAAATTCACTTTTCGCTATATAAAAATATAGAAATTGTTTTGTTTTTGCATAATAAGCCTCGTTCTCGTGCTGTGTGAAGGCGCGGCCACTAAGTTTCGCAATTGGTCTATTGTTTGCAGGTTTGAGGTTTGTAAAAAAAAAATTTAAAAAAATTATCGTGTTGCCATGACAAACATGACGTGAGCAACGCGAGCCTGCGTTCAATGTTGGCGTAATTACGAATACTTCATGTTGAAACAATGTTTGGAGAATATAGGCGAGGGGTTGTTGCATGCATGTATTTCTAGTAATTAATAATAAACACAATTTGCTTCAAGAGGATGTATGTGCAATTCCGCGACGAAGTAATGGGCGTCAAAACGACTTGAGGAGTCACTTCAGTTAATTTGTCTAACATATTTTCGTCTACAGCAACCCAAAAATAGTAACCGTAATTGTAGATTTTAAAAATTGATATAAAAAAGGAAACCTTATTTTGAAGTATACAATCTAGCGATTGCCTTTGTTGCAAACACGACAGAAGACAGAGCCATATTGTTTTGATCGTGTTTCCACATTTCGTTTTCGTATTTCCTTTACATTACGCCATAACGTTGATCAACTATTGAGTTGATATGACGATTTTACGTAAATTAAATTTAAGTTTGGTATCTTGAAATAAAACCAAGAATGAAAACTTACTGACCAAAATATATAGAGAACGATATTGCCACAGATAGGATCAAATAATCCCGGGTTTGAAGAACTTACGCAAGTGTTGAACATTTTGATTGAGCGGTTTTAGTATACGTAGCTATCAGGTGAAAAAAAGAGCTCAAAATAGCACAACGTTTCCAGCGATGTCGCATGGGAATTGTCAACGACCTACTAGTGAACAAGGCGATCACCTATAATTAAACCTCCTATACTGTTCGTTCTGGGAATGCTTGGATAAAGACTGGATGGACTGAACACAGGTTGAAAACTCTTCCAAGTAAAAGTATTCGCCCAGGAGGTATACAAGGCAACATGTTTTCCATATCTGCATACTCTGGCCTCTTACTTGCTTCTATGAGATATGAGATATTAGCCTACTTCCAGCTGTCACAAGATTTCTGCAACTTTCATATTGTTGTTCGCAATCTACAGTTATAACATAACATAAATCAATAAAGCTGAATTTCCTTGAAACTCTACACAGTATACATCACCATTGTAGCTGAAAAATAGACCAAAAGCGTCCCAGCTTTGAAAATTGGTTGCCACGATAAGTGGTGATGAATGTGTAACTTGGTTGACATTGGCTCCTTTTGACAGAAGCTCTTTAATAATTTCCACACTGTTTCGCTCTGCTGTATCCATCAGAAGAGTGTTTTTATTTTTACTGGGCACATAGTTCAGATCTGCACCTAGGGTTTAAGTATTATTGGTAAATATTGTAGACATTGCGTACCTTCTGATTGACTAACAGCTTACATATAATTATAAACTTATTTGGTAGGGATGCAACTAGCTGAAAATTAGAAGGAGAAATTCGACGTTTCGAGCGCAAGCTATTCGTCAGGAAGTTAGTAAAAACTAAGGCCCACGAAGGGCCTTCTTCCCGACAAAAGGCTTTTGCTCAAAAACGTCGAATTTCTCCTTGTACTTTTTGGGTAGTTGCATCTCTATCAACAAACGTTTTGTTATTATTGGCACTCACTACGCTCATGACACAGACAGTTCAAGATTACATCAAATTATGCTAATTACGCCACCTGCTCAGTTACTCGAAAGCCACATGTATATCTATAGGTTTATCCTCCTGTACATTTCCAAGAAAAAATCAAGGCTGAACACTGCAGTATTCGTTGAGGGTTTTCGTTAGGAACACGTTTGGAAAATAACCGTTGTGGTTGAAGTAACCTCCGGATTATAAAAGAACATACCGTAAACCTCCGACTATAAGCCCCACCCCCCGAATGTAAGCCCCCCTCCCCCCGTGTATAAGCCCACCACATGTACTAACGCTCACCTCATTCCAAATATAAGCCCCCCCCGAATATAAGCCCACCCGAATATAAGCCCCCCGAATATAAGTCCCCAATTAATATAAGCCCAGTAATCGTTGCTTAATAATACACGTTTGTTTCCCTGTTTATGACTGACTTGTTTATGTATGACTTGTTTATTACGAACACAAAAGATCGTCCATGTATAAGCCCACCCGTACATAAGTCTCCCCCCCCCCCCTTTGTATAAGCCCATCAAATATCGCTTACGAAAGTATATAAGCCCGGGGCTTATAGTCGGAGGTTTACGGTAGGGGCACTGCAGGATAAAATCAGTCAAACGATCCCATTAGGATGCTTCAATTTCTAACTAGTCCCATATTAAAGTTCTGCAAGTAAAATCATACCCTATTATATGTAGCTAAATAGAAATCATCTTATTACTATCGCATGTGATTTAATTAGTCAGAATGCAATATATCACTGCATAGGAATACTAATTTTTGTTCACTGCATTTGGGTTGCTCATATTGATTTTCGTTTTAATTTGCTAATACGTCACGGTAGTGTTGATAGGAAGATTTCAATGCAACCAATTGACGGGCGACCTTTTTGTCCCTCAATTTTTCCAGTATAGCAATTTGTCAGCAATGCTTGGACTAAAGTAACGAGCGCAACTGATCTCAAATGTGAATTGCAATAGTAGAATTTTATAGGAATTTTATTAACCATGAACCAACAAAAGTAATACTGAAACACGTTATTTGTCGTTTACGTTGGGCCGTACTTAAAATAACATTTCCCCTCGACCTCAGAAGCGTCCCTCGGCCTTTGGCTTGGAGCAGCTTCTGATACACCCAGTCCTTAAAAGGCCATCTAACAAATTGTCCGATGACTTTGATTTTGGGTCGCACATATGTATGATGATGTCCGCTGACCTTCAGTTCAGTTTGGCTCGGAAATAAGTTTGAATGACACAAATTAATATCAGAACAATATATTAATTCTGAATAGTAAATTGTTGGGAAGATATTAAATATTTTGTGTCATTCATACTTATTTCAAGCAAAGAAGAATATAGGTGAGAGAGAAATGGAGGGAAAAACCATCTTCGAAAATTGAGAAAAAAACAACAAATTATTAAGCCTAATAGGCAACAAAATTTTTTTAAGACAACAATCAATCTCAAAGAGGCAGGTAATCTTCGAGTTGAGCGACTCGAGTTAAGCCCCTCGGGTTAAGCCCTTCAAGTTAAGCCCCGGCCACGCCCAAATCACACTCATTTTCGTCAAGGGCTTAACTCGAAGAAAGAAACACAACTTGGAAAGTTCGAGTTAAGTCCCGTGAAAAAGTAGGGGCTTAACTCGAAGTCTTTGAAAATATTCGCCACTCGAGTTAAGCCCCGACATTTGAGGCATATAAAAGAGCAATGATTTGAGTCGTCCACAATCTAACTGGAAATAGTTATCATACGTATCTATTTAAATAAGCTGCAGCCTGAATGAATCACGAGCAACTTGTGTAAACAGTCTATTTTTATTAAGTAACAGATTATTTTGGGTAGATTATGAAAACTATTTCCAGCTACATTGTGGACGACTCAAATCATTGCTCTTTTACATGCCTCAAATGTCAGGGCTTAACTCGCGCGTCGAATATTTTCAATGATTTCGAGTTAAGCCCCTCTTTTTTCACATGGCTTAACTCAACTTTCCAAGTTGTGTATCTATCTTCCAGTTAAGCCCTTGACGAAAATGGGTGTGGTTTAGCGTGGTCGGGGCTTAACTCGAAAAGAGCTTAACTCGAAGGGCTTAACTCGAGGGGCATAACTCGAAGATTAACTTCTTCCATCTCAAAAAGTGCCATGGACGCAGTACAGCTTAAATAAAGACTTTTAAATCTGGGGTAGACTCTAGCTGAGATGTCTGATGGAAAAAAATTTAAAAATTTTGTATTTTGATGAGCTGGAAAGCAAAAGAAGAAAAAGGTGGGACAGGGATAAGTATGTACTTATCTGCTGCCTTCCTACCCCTTGCCCACAGGAGTAATGCCTATGTATCAAACCATTTATTCCAATAATTCAGACAGATAATTAAAAAAATTAATTTAATGAATGGTGTTTTCTTCTAATATTTCAGAAACAAATAAAACTACAGGAGCTATAAAGCTGTGCAGTAAACTAAATAGTGCCAGGGCCGTACGTAGCTAGACGCGATAATTGGGGGGGGGGGGAGTATATTGATATATTCATGTTCACATACCGTAAAAACAATCGCTTTCAAAAGAAATCCACCGGGCATGAGAACACGAATAAATTAATATGAATCCCCTGTTATCAGTTTAGCTACGACCTCGGAATAGTTCATTAATTATCGATAAGAAATAACAGTTTAAACATCGTAGGTCTATTTAATTTCTGCTTCGTAACTTCCTGTTTTACGGAAACAAAATATGTAATTAAATTAGAGAAGCTATAAGACTGTGCGGTGAACTAAACAGTGCAGTAAATTATTGATAAGAAATAACTGTTTTTAAACATCATAGGTCCATTCGATATCAGCTTCAGAACTTCCTTTTACGAATAAAACAAAGCTGTAGCCAGGTGTTGAATGTACAGGACCTGAATATTACATGCAATAAAATCATTATTTCACTAGATTTGTTATTAACCTATTAACTGGCAATGTACTCAAATGTGCCAACTTTAGTAATTTGCTATCGGTATTGGCATTTGAATGAGGGAAGGGCAAATTTGAGGATTAACAGTTTGGAAATTGTCAACCAAATAATAAATAAACATGAATTATGATAAATACCATCAATGTAGATTTCAGAATAATCTTTATTTCGGTTGTACGTAAAAGTAACACCAGCTATTGTCTTGGTTTTTTTATATTCTCCGTAATAGGCAACATGATCATTCATCCAAGAATTCTCACAAAAACTGTAGCCCATTCCACCGTGCGATTTTTTATACCCAACACCTAATATGAGGAAGAAAGCAGCAAAAATTTTTAATAAAAAATCATCCTCACTGATCTCATAAATAGCGGAATAGCAGTGTTGGTTATTAAGGACACTTAATAACCAACACTGATCGGTCCAATTACATTTGAAATTTGCATTATAATGACTGCATGACAGCAGCGAGATAGCAAACATTTCTTGATTTGATGATTCCTTGCAAATATATTTCATTTTTGCAAGATTTTATAAATTTCAAAACTTTTTGATAAAATAAAGGCAAATTGCTAAAAGAAGGGAGTAAAGGCGCCGACGTTAAAGAAGGTAAGTTCGTTTTAAATATTGATGCATTGCTTTGCTTTATAATTGCTTAATAGACAATCGTTGCTTATAAAGAAACAAGACAGCATATAATTTCAGTGTATCTTTATTGATTATCCTTTTTTATTATATTAATATTTTTAATTTAAATAAAAGAGAATGCAAAGTTATTTGAATGCGAGAATTGTAAATCATTTCATTTTGGACTCAAAGTTTTTCGACAAAAAGCATTTTAGTTTTATATTACTTAAAGGAACACTTTAAAACTTTTTACGAAGCGTTCGTGGTTGAATTTTACCTTAATTTGAAGCTTGTAATGCGTATAATAATATTACATATCTAACATATATATGTTTGGGAAATTGATAATTTTGTAATTAAAATTCTTTTTAATTTTAGGGGATTCTTCATTTGTAAAAATATTCTTCAAAACACTCATTAATAATTCATAAGCTTATTGACAAATCATGTCAACCATAATAGGCTATATCACGTGCAGTGGCTTTAAACCTGATAAAACTACTAATAAGGCAGTATCTATTGTAGTCGTATCCTCATTAGTATTTTTGTATAAAGAATACTAATAAGGCAGTATCTATTGAATTTGTAGTCGTGTTTGAAACCGTTTAATAAACTTGCAATACGTGTTTTATTAGGTCTAAAGCCACAGTCGTATCCTCATTAGTATTTTTGTATAAAGAATACTAACAAGGCAGTTTATCTATTGAATTTGTAGTCGTGTTTGAAACCGTTTAATAAACTTGCAATACGTGTTTTATTAGGTCTAAAGCCACTCGCGCTGCGCGCTCGTGGCTTTAAACCTAATAAAACACTCCTTAAAAAATTATCGTGTTATTATCCCAACTACTTTAAATACTTAATGTTCGGAAAATACAATGGTTTTGTCAGCAAGGCGAGGGTTTCTGCATGCATGTATTCCCTATTAAAAAACTCATTAATAATTCATGAAGAAAATACAAAGAAAAATCATAAGCGTGTCGTATCTGTATATGTGGTACAGATTCATGTTGATTTACATATAAGCTTTATCTTTGATTTTCTCGGCTTGGACAACGTTTATTTTTAAAATTACTCCGCCAATGAACTCATAAGATGAGTCGTTTGGATAGATGTTGTATTTGATTGGATTAGGGCTTGGTAATGCGAAAGACATCAGTGTTAAAGGACTTGAAATAGTGAAGAATGCTAAAGAAGTATATCTTGAAGCTTCGCGTCCGTGTTGTATCGGATATACAAACTCTCGCCTTCGGCTCGAGTTTGTATATCCGATACAACACGGCCGCTCATGTTGTAAATAGTACTTAAATAATTATTGTAGCCCTATACTTTTTCAAGAGTTGTTAAGGGTCTCTGTTAATTGGGGGTGAAGCAGCAATGGCCCTGTTTTCATTTTACCCTACGATATCTAATGTCCCATGGTTTTACTGATGAGTCTGGAGTGTGTTAGCCATGGGTTTGAAGAGACTGCTCTTTTTGTTTGCTATGTAATAGATGCATCAAAGATTCTAACTTACAGATGCTAGCATCTTCGTAGAAGTAGTTTGTAATATCGACATTAATTGCACCATTGGGAACAGTTAATATGAGATTCTTCCAGATATTCGCGTTTGGTATATCAGTGTAGGAGCCAGAAATTTCACCTGTATTATACAAGAGAGAAATATGAAGAAAAGTAATTGGGTGAATAGGTATGGAAGACAGAGAGAAGAGGGTTGGCTGAGTAGAAAGGTATGCAAGGGTAAATGATACATGGCAGTTGAAAAAAGTTAGAACAAAATACAATCATTCCACTCTTGCATATAATTTCCCGAGAAGACCTTTACCTTCTTCCGCTCCTGTATTTTGTTCACTTTTGCTACTTTCGTATTTTGGCATTGTCTTACACTGTCCATCCATGCAGACGCCGCTGTCAGAATTGCAATGTGTACCATCGTCCACTTTTCCAGCACCCGTATAGATATTCCCTGAGCCACTGTGGCAAAATAACCCACACTGGTCTAGGGTTAAACAATGTTCACTCAGTGGTGAATACTTTGCAAAATAATAGTGATGATGATGGTGATGATGGTGGTGATGATGGTGGAGATGATGGTGGAGGTGATGGTGGTGATAATGGTGATCATGGTGGAGATGGTGATAATGGTGGAGATGGTGGTGATGATAATAATGGTGGAGGTAATGGTGATGATGATGGTCATGATGGTGGAGATGGTGGAGATGGTGATGATGATGGAGATGGTGGTGATGATGATAATGTTGGTGATGATAGTGATGATGATGATAATGGTGGAGGTGATGGTGGTGATGACGGTGATGATGATGGAGATGGTGATGATGATGGAAATGGTGGTGATGATGATAATGTTGGTGATGATGGTGATGATAATGATGGTAGTGATGGTGGTGATGATGATGGTAGTGATGTTGGTGATAGTAATGATGATGGTGAAAAATTGTGGTACGATGATAATGGTGACGATGGCGGTGATGGTGGTGATGATGCTAATGGCGGTGATGCATGATTATGATGATAGTGATGATGATGATGGTGGTAATGATGGTGATGATGGTGATGATGGTGATGATGGTGATGATGGTGGTGATGATAATGGTGGTGATGGTGGTGATGATGGTGATGTTAGTGATAGTGGTGATGATGGTTTTAGTGATGATGGTGGAGATAATGATGAAGATGGTGATGATGGTAGTGATAATGATGGCAGTGATGGTGGTGATAGTGATGATGATGGTGGAAAATGGTGGTGATGATATAGTGATGGTTTGGTGATGGTGGCAGTAATGGTTGTAATGATTATGTTGATGGTGATCATGGTGGAGATGCTGGTGATGATGATGGTGATGATAAAGATGGTGATGATGGTGGTGATGATGATGGCAGTGATGGTGGTGATAGTGATGATGATGGTGGAAAATGGTGGTGATGATGGTGGTGATCATGATGGTGGTGATGATGGTTATCGATGGTAGTGATAGCGGTGATGATGGTGATGATGTTTATGGTGGTGTGATGGTGGTGATGGTGGTGGTGATGATAATGATGCATAATTATGGTAGTGATGATATATACGCATTAATTTCAGTATAATTTAGTTGAAAAAGAAATGCACATAAGCTTACTATTATTGAATGTATATGATTTTGCCAGAAGGCCACGTGCTTGACATTGCTGAACTCTGTGGCTTTTATCCCCTTCGGGGCAACTCTAAAATACAAACATAATCATGTAATATAATGTTTTATCAACTTCGAGGATTTAGCTTCTTGGAAGAAAATTCTAGTGGCGATACCAGCTGATCCTAACTTTAAGCCATGTACCTTACTGTATCTCACGTGAAGAGCTAATGTTCTTACCTGGGTATTGCACCATTGCTGGGCTGCTAACTGGCTGGTTGTACCATAACAGTCACCACCATTCAATGACGGTTTTGGATTGGTACATGTCCTAGTTTTAAATCGGATACCGCCTCCACAGCTTTGAGAACACTCGCCTGGCTTCGACCAAGCCGAGAATCGGCCATTTTTCCCTGCATATAGAATTGTGGGGTGACTTTTTGTACTAGTATAGGGGTTAATTAGCCTTTATTACGATGACAAATATCCGCCATTTTTGGGTGGCATCAAATTCTCACTAACCAATGCAAACAATTAAAACAATATGAAAAGCAATTTTTCAAAATAAACTAACCATTTACAAAGCAAATTTACCATCACTTGTCCAAAAAATTATAAAAAGTCGCTGTTATGTGGACTGATCTCGCAGCCTTCGGCCGAAATGCTACTTAAAAATGGCGGCGTGAGAAAGGCTAATTAACTTTTCACTAGGCATTGGTGCCATACGTGAGTGTGCAGTTTTCATCATTAATATGGTTTGGTTAAGTTTAGTTGTATGGTGGAATTTTATTTTAGGATTATGATCATATTCGCAAATGTAAGCATTTGGTGTTTGTAAGCATTAGCCTGGAAGCATTTGGTGTTTTGTGCGATCTATACAAATCATTTTTACTGATGACAGAGATACTGTCACCCTCTAGTTTATTCGTCTTGACATGCTTGTAATTTGGGAAGCACGAGTGGCGGATATAGTTAGGGCACTGACCCTTACCTCAGAGATAAGCCTGCCATACAGCAGGTCGGGACTCGCTTGAATTACCTCAGTGTGCCTGACTAACTCATATGTAAAGTTGATTCTCTCCTATGCTTCGAGTGGTTTCCCCGGATACTCCGGTTTTCCTCTCTCTAATACTAACTCTTAGGAACTAACTATGCACTAACTACGGGGCCACAGTAATTGGATAGCGCTGTTGTGAACTCCCTGTCATTGAGGCAAAGCTAAATAAACATGACATATGGCGCACATACCATTGCAGTTATTTTGAAAAGTATGAAACAAATAATTTGCTTTGAGAACATTCTTTCCATATAATCCACCAACATTGCCATGTGCCAAATATCTTCCAACAACATAAACAGTTTTCTTATCGGCACTTCTTGCGAAACCAATACCAAGCTTTGTTGATGTTTTCCAGACTACCTGTTAGAGATGCGACTGACTTAAGGTGTGCTTGGTCGTATTACTAAACTGTGTTTATAATGGACAGGTTACTCCAAGCAGTTTAGCCCAAACAGACTTCATTGAAGTATTCGATTTTCATCAAACAACCAAGCTGATTGAATATTTCGACTTGAATATAATTATTATGCTTGCAGCAACGAGAACTAAATTTAGCCATTGGCAAAATGTGTGAAACTGTTATTTATTTTGGCCTATTCATTGATTAATTAGGCACTCCGAAGTTGATGAGTGGACTGGGGACGAGTGTTAAAAAGTGCCTAAATTAAGAAACGAACCAAATCACTAAAAAGACCACCTCAAAATTAGTAAGTATACAAAGTTTGAAGACGTTTACATGATTACCCTTCAAATAATAAGCTTTCAAAAATTGTGAAATTGCTGATTAAAAGATTGTTTTTGGGACGCGCGTCCCAAAAAACAAAAATTACAGTACATTTAATTCATAGTAAATATCGCGATTTTCAAAAGCTTATTATTCGAAGGGTATTCATGTAAACGTCTTCAAACTTTGCATACCTACTAATTTTGAGGTTGTCGTTTTAGTGATTTGGGTCATTTCTTAATTTGGGCACTTTTTAACATTCGTCCCAGTCCCCTCATTAACTTCGGAATGGGGAATTAAATAAAACCATTGAGATTTAGTAAGAACCATCCCTTATTGTTCCAAAGTTAATTCATTAGAAGATCTGGACTAAGCTTCAGCATGGGGCTATCTGTCTACCTGGGTAAAATGCCCAGTAGCTTTGCCAGCGTGTCCAGGCCGATTGAAATTGCGTTCGTTGTGACAGTAGTTGTAGTCCCAAACTTCTTTATACCTAGGGATGTACAAGAGAAAAAGAGAGGAAGTAAGGGATGTGAAGAGAAGTAAGGGAAGAGAGTGGGGCTGGAAGGACGGAAGGGTGAAAGTAAGGGATGAGAGGAGGGTTGGAATGACAGCACGGAGCAGGTGAGGGATAAGAGGGTAGGTAAGGGATGAGGAGGGGACTGAAATGATGGGAGGGAAGAAGTAAGGGTTGAGAGGGGGGTTGGAATGAGGGGAGGGAAGAAGTAAGGGTTGAGAGGGGAAGTAAGGGATGAGAGAGAAGCGGGAATGACTGGAGGGAGGAAGTAAGGGATAAGATGGACGCCGAGAGGTTGAAGGAAGGATGTGGGGAAGATAGAGGGGGAGGGTAGAAGAATAGTAGTAGCAAGAATGAGAAAGATTGATCTAATATTGATTGATAAGAATAATGTAAGGAAAGGAATTAATAGGAATTGTCTTTAGTATAATAAATAATCCCAGTCTTACCATGCTTTTGCCGCATTCATATTACTTCCACCACCTGCGGCTAAATTTTCACCAGCACCTTGACGATCACAGTATGGTTTGTTGCAATGAACTAATCCTTTGTTTTTTGCCGCTAAAATTTCAGCGTATTCTTGTGCTTTGGCCTCGAGACTAATGACAATGATAAGAATATCCAGAAAAGTTAGCGATAAAATGATTTTCTTGCAATATCGATATCGTGTAAACCCCCAAGGATTTGTTAAAATTATAATTTTTTTGAAAAGTTGCAGTAGGAGGTTCTCAGCCAAGAAGGTGTTCCACTTCAAATGTATTGGTACTAAAGCCTGGTTTCTATTTGCACGTTAGCTGTCGTTGGCATGACAATTGGCTGATGTCATATAGGGTCAACAAAACTTTACAAAACTTTGTAATCAGTTTTTTTTATATTTTTATGTATATACTTGCATATAACACACAAAACACAAGATTTCACATTTATCGCTTTTCGTGCCAGGGACAACTATAACGTTGGAATTTCATGTATTTTCCGGCAGCAAAACACGGTGTCGTTACATATAGTAAACAATTTATTTGCTGTGAAATGAGGTTCTTAAAAATGGTCAAAGACGGCATATAATTGCCTTGATACAAGCCGTGTTTCTCAAGAAATACTGTTTCTTTTAAGAAGTCGACGAAGTCGTTTATTATAATTTTAAATCACCTCCAAGTATGTTAAAAACCTCACTATGTATACTATAGTAATCAATTCTAGTAATCTCCCTCTCTTGTATGATATATTACTCACGTTGCATCTCTGGTCATTGGCGGAACGCCATGCAGCGAGCGATAATGGTTATGTAAATTGAGTTGGTTACGACGATAAGCATTAATATCAAAATTTGCATCATTTTGCACCAAATTTGTCATTATCTTCTCAACATTGCGGTGATTGGGTCTATAATGAACGATGAGGTTTTGAATAAATTAGGTTCAATTGTCAATGAGAGCCATCTTTCATGTTAATTCTGTGTTACTCAAGACCGGAGGAAGCCTAAACTAACTTTATTTATACTGGTCAGGATAAGTCTATCAGTTCTGAACTGTTCTTCCTGGCGATTCAGTAAGGATTAGCTCTTATTGATCCAGTGTTACTACAAGAGGAAACCTAAACTAACTTTATTTATACTGCATAGCTCTATCAGTTCTAAAAATGTTCTTCTTATAGTGTCCAGTGAAGATCATCTCTTATTGATCCAGTGTTATTACAGGAAGAAACCTAAACTAAACTAACTTTATTCATACTGGATAGTTCTATCAGTTCTAAACTGTTCTTTCTATAGAGATCCAGTAAGGACTATCTCTTATTGATCCAATGTTACTACAGAAGGAAACATAGCCTAAACTAAACTAACTTTATTTATACTGCATAGCTCTATCATGTCTAAACAGCCATTTATCTGTTCTTTCTTGATGCCCAGTAAGGATCATTTCTTTTTTTATCTAATTTTATAAAATATATTTTATTTTAGATTATACTCAATACGTTGCATAATGATTCATAAACATTACGTTATGATGCACATTATTGCACATGTTTGTTGCGACAGTGCAATATTGCGCAAATATGCATATGAATTCAGGCCATAAATCTGCATGATTTAAGGATTAAATTGATTAATTTAAGGATTAAATTGATCAATTTAAGCATAATCCTTTGTATCATATATCATTATAACCCAATCTGCATGTATATTAATTTAGGATTACGTTGCATAATGTACATAATGCACATGTGAAGGTCATTACTTTGCATAATGTATTCATAAACTAATATTGATGTCATAAGCATTTTGGTTAGGCGATCTAATATTATGAAATATATTTTATTTTAGATTGCACTCAATACGTTTACCTGGCGTGAACCAAGACCACAAACACTTGGAAAAGTACAAAACATCCAATCATCTTTGCTCTGCCAAGCGAAAAATATGTTATCCAGTAAGTTTGAGGACAAACTATACACATATACTTGTGGTTAAGAAAATATGACTAAAGAATATATTTCATATTTCGCGCAATAAAATTTATTAGGCTTCGCGAGTAAATAACCGTTTTGCAAATTATTTTGTTTAACAAAATATGAAATATTCAGTAAGAATTAATCACCCACGTATTACCACCTATTGGCATTGGATTTCCCGCTGGAGAAAATATCAGGGGCAGGTTGTGATTAAAGTTAATCATAGTTAAATGGAAATGTCATCCAATAAGAAGCGCCTACTTGAGAGTTAATCACTATTTAACTACAAAATAGTGATTAGAAAAGTGATTAAGAGTTTTATACAACCGGCCCAGGTATGTGGGCGGGGTTACTGTTTCATGGAAGAAGATACATATAGGAACATCTTTTCCAGCAAATCCTGGAAAATTTCTTCAGCTTGGGAAAGCATAAGACATTTTTTGTAAATTTCTCAACAAATATTCGTCCGAATTGAATTGGTAAAATTAATCGATTATCCTTGGGCCTATACCCATTATTTTAGTACATACGTAGATAATTGGTGTCGAGATATTTTGGAATTTTTGGCAGATGTTCAAATATATGCATGCATACAAGTCTGCTTGGGAATTCAAATATCTAAGATTTATGTAGTAATGGAAAACTGTCAAGCGCTTCTGGCGAAGTGAAAACTGTTTAAGGATTTTCAATTGTGATTACTTTAGTCAGGCATAGAGTATATATAAGAAGAAAACTCCGAGCATAAAAACATATATAATATATAACGATTTTAAAACTATATTACATATTTAGTGAAAACACGAAAATAACCAGAAATTCCAAAGTGCAGTTATTTAATTAGTTACCACGCCCTATAGTTCAAAATGCTTAAATTATTTTTTTTATATAAATTTAAACTGTATAATTGCGCTGTAAATGACACAAACTATATCTTGATTATTTTATCAATGATTATTTTATAATTTTTCTTTTAATTATTCTATCTAATTATTTTGTGGCGTGTTTATTGGAAAAGTTAAATAAATAAATAAATAAATAAATATGCAGTAAAACTTTATCAATATAGGTTAACATATACATACCTTTAAAATATATAATCTTCGTATCATCGGCTCTGTCGTGACAACCTGGCTTTGAGAATGACTACCTATTGCCTGTGGATCTCTTTATATAATCGCCTTCCACTGGTTAATATGAATTTTTCTTTGTAATTCTAATTTAATTTATATTTTTTGTTTTCTGACTTTTTGCTAACCAAAACATATTTTCAAATATTTCAAATAGTGACGTTCGGCATAATGTTTGATCCTACGTCGTTTACGATGACTCTCAGTGTGATAACCAGCAATCCAGCATAGGACTATGCCGTAGAGGATACAATGGGTCAATGGCTTTCCTTTAAATCTGCCGCACACTATCGCGCTTGGCTAATCTTACCGCCAAGAGAGGCCAGCAACGCCTCAAATTACATCTATGGACCCACGCATGAACAAAATATGACACCATTGTGGGTCGGTTTTACAAAGAAATGTCTCCTATATTTTGCCCTTGGCCCAATCAAATTTATCAGGCAAGGAAAAAGCGCCCAAAATATTTCTAGTGTGAACTATTATAGGCTTCATCTAGTTTGTGCACTGAACAAAATTTTTATTTTTTACAAATATAGGCTACCAGAGGAAGAATGCGTGAGGTAACGTTTTCAAATTTAAATAGTGTTGCTATGTTCGACTTTTTTCTTTCAATTCATGCACCTCTGTAACAGATTTACCCATGGATAAATCATGGATAAATGAAAAATTGAATACCGCAGTCCTCATTTACAATTTGAAAAAATTCTTAATATAATGAACCAGGAACTTTTTACTTGACATAAATTAATGCAAAACCTAATTTGAATTGTATTAACGTCTTTATGACGGAGATGCTCTATAATGTCTGTATGTGACTATAGTATATAGGAAATGTACTTGGAACAAACTGTAATAAACGGTACGGTAGATAAATGGACATACATGTATGTATGTTGAATATGATTTTGTCTGCCCTAAAATTTAATAGTGCAACTGAAGCAGATAATTATGTAACAATCAGTTGCATCATGATATATGGAAAAATGTCCCAGATGAGATTAAAAAAATAAAGCGGTTAGTTTGTTAAGCAATATTTGCCATTAAAAGACTATTATTTAAGTAAAAGAACACTTTCAAGGATTCGTTGATAAATTTGAACATTTACACCTCAGTGAATTATAGACATGCATATATAATCCTAAGATCACCAATGGCTTTTATATATATAATTGTGTTGTTTTTGCACTTTTATTATTTACACTTTCTTATTTATTCTTTCCAATATCTCAATTGGTAGAATCATTATCCTATTCCCTTAAAACAGTGAACTAGTCGAGTTCAGTACATATAGTACAGGTGGAATAAAGATATGCATGTTTAGCGTATTTAAAATTGTGTTTAAACCAACAGGCGGCTAACATATGACCTGGATGGATAGGAAATATTTTATTAGACAGGCAGCTGAAATGTTTTGGTCACAATTGTTGTTGTTACTGCACTTAATAATACACCTACTCAAACCATGCAGAGACATGTCATGCAAGAATAATTCTGGAACATCGAATGTTCTATAATCTGCATAACCAGTATCAAATGGTTGACATCAATAAAAATATTAGTCAGTGGGCATGGGTGTGCGCTTGTATATTGGGCTGAACTATACAAAGCTCGAAGCTTGAAGCTTGTTTGTAGGCTCGACATTCAGTGATCTTTGATTAAGTGTAGCTATATATTCTCGCGCAGGCTTAGGATTTGTGGATTGAGTTGATTTAAGATAGTTGAGCTTATTGGTTTAAGGTATGAATAAAGGTTTACTTATGGTTAAGACATATAGGCTTTCTATATATGGGTTAAGGTTAGGGTTATACGGTTGTATAGGGTTGGAGTAAAGTTAGGGTGAACATAGAAAAAACTGCATGTTGAGCCGTGAACTGAGATCGCCAACGCCCCTCTATTCCAAGTCAACTTCGTATTTTTTCATCTATATAATGACTTAACACTACACATATAACACTTACAATGAGATATGGATAGTGTGTAAAATATGCTCTGAATATGTGGATAAACGAAAAAGCTAGCATTTTAAAACTATACTAAAACTATAACCTTGGTTGCATGGGAAATGGTGAGGAAATATTTTGAATATTGATATTAAGTACAGCGCTCCATATGTGCAGTTATAGTTTCTGTGCAAATATTTGAATTATAAGCTTTAAATACAAGTAGAGATGTATAGATTGTAAAGCATACTTCCACATGTGATACATGGCGAAAACTTATAAAGTTAACCGGCGACATCTTCAAATACATGAATATTTATGTTGGCTAATATCAAAGTAAGCAACAACGCAACAAAGCCTTTTTTACAACTAACTAGGTAACAGCTTGTTAGACTAACAACATCGTGCAATTATGCCTGAAATAGTCAAAAAAAGATAGCGATATACTGTAACACAGATGCATGGTGTTTAACGTTTTCTCCCTGGACTTACATCTCTGGACTCATAAACAAAATATGTGACCCTTGTTGGTCGGTTTACAAAGAAATGTGTTCTGTATTGCCCTTGGCCCAGTCACATTTATATCATGCAAGGCAAAATTGCCCAACGTATTTCTAGTGTGAACTGGGTCCAATCTAGTTTGTGCGGTGAACATAATTTTTATTTTTTACAAATATACCGGAGCAAGAATGCTTGAGGTTATATGTTTTCAAATTTATGTAGTGTAGTGTTGTTATCTTGTACTTTTTTCTTTTAATTCATGCACTTCTGTACCCGATTTACCAAATGATAAATGTAAAAATGAATAGCGCTGTCCCGATTTACATTTTGAAAAAATTCTTAAAGTGAACCAGGAAGTTTTTATTTGACAAAAATGAATGCAAAGCCTAAATGAATTGCATCAACGTCTTTATGACAAAGACGCTCTATAATATCTGCATGTACATGCATGGACAGTATATAAATTATTATGTAACAACCGGTAGATAAAGTATATCGACATCTGCATGGTGAATATGATTTTGTTTGTCCTAAAATTTAATAGGCCTAGTGCAACTGAAGCAGATAATTATGTAACAGTCAGTTGCATTAAGATATGGAAAAATCTCCCGAATAAGATTAAAAGAAATATAGCGGTTAGTTTGTTAAGCAAAAATTATTTGCCCTTAAAAATCAATTATTTAAGAAAAAAACACTTTCAAGGATTCATTGATAAATTTGAACATTTACACTTCAGTAAATTGTATATATACTGCATAATCCTATAAGGTCACCAATGGCTTTTATATATAATTACACTTTTTAATTTCTACACTTTTTCATTCATTCGTTCAAATATCTCATTTGGTATAATGTTTTACCTATTCCCTTAAAACAGTGAACAAGTCGAGTTCATGTAGTGTAGCACTGGTTGAGTAAAGATATGCATTTATATATATTTGGCGTGTTTATAAAATCGCGCTTAAAATCAACAGGCGGCTAGCATATAATCTATTTTATTAGACAGGCAGCTGAAGTGGTTTGGTCACATTGTTGTTGTCGGATCGACTGCACTTAATAATACACCTACTCAAAACATGCAGAGACATGTTATGCAAGAATAATTCTGAAACTTCGAATGTTCTATAATCTGCATAACCAATACGGTAACCATGGTCGAAACATCAATAAAAATATTAATAAGTGGGTGGATGTGCGCTAATCTTTCTTCCTTGTATAGCCAAGAGCTGCATGGGCTGAACTACAAAGCTCGAAGGTTATTCGTGCGTAGCCTCGACATTCAGTGATCCTCGATTAAGTGCATGTATATATATTCTCGAGCCGGGTTAGGATTTTGTGGATTGATTTGATTTAAGAGAGTTGATTAGGGTTAAGGATGAAT